TCAACTAATTACTCGTGTCATACAATTTATTTAAGAACTTTTGTCAACTAGTCTGAGGACACTTGTCAATTACTTACACATGTTAATTGGATACGGTTGATCGAAAAACTTTTGTCTTTTCAAACTGGTTACTCATGTCAATTAGTTACATTCATCCGAGAACTCTTGTGAACTAATTACTTGTGCCTGTTGGTGATAATAGTTTAAAAACATATCCAATAGTGGAATACATAACAGTGAAACCTATTGGGTTAGCCAACTTGAGTAAGCGTTTGTATAGGCATAATCTAATGATAACAAAAGTTATATTTATTTATTTTTTATGAAAAAAAATATGCGACTTAATATATTGCACATCTGACAATAAGTCAATAATAACAAAAGATTAGTTGCTAATCAATTATGATTACATACAAATATAAACCCTTCTGACATGTTTAAATGAAAAAAAAAAGGGTGAATAAGGCAACTAAAATTGAATTATGGCTAAAGAAATTTGTGTATGTATATCATCCTATTTCCTAAAAAATTATTGGCCGTTAAAAATAATAAATCAAAAATCAAACATCAAATTTTTTTTGGTTTATTTTCAATTTTTTGACTTCGAAAAAATGAAGATGCTAAAAAATCACAAAATTTCTACCAAATAACCCAAAAAATAAATAAATAAATAAATTCAAAGAAGAACACTTCAAAACTTAATCTAAAAAATGTCCAACATAAGTTTTACCAAATGGAGCCGTTATTAATATTTATCCAAAATTAATAATTTTTTTTTTTACATGTTACTTTAAGAGTAAATTATGCCAGCAGTCCATAAACTTTGCATTTTTTCGATTGAGTCCTTAAACTAATTATTTATTAAAGAAGCTCTCCAACTTCCAAATTGATTCAATTTAATCATTCTGTAACATTTTATATCATATAGGAATAGCCTAAAAGATAAATTAATAAAAGAACTGTAAAATTCTTTTTTCTAGTATTAAAAAAATACATTAACCACCTTAGAAACATGCATTGGTTTGCATTTCTATAGAGCAGTGGGGAAATAATTACATTTTTATGGTGGTGCAAGTCTCGTGTATGCATGGTGCAAGTCATGTTGTGTGTCAGAGTTGCACCAGAAAATATTCTCATATGTAGTGCAATTATTTTGTTACTGCCTCACTTATTTGTAATTTATTTTTATTTATTTAAATTCTTTCTACTTTGAGGGTCCATTAATTCGCCCTACTGACTATTGTCTATTTATGCAACCCAAAATGTATGTTAGCCTTTTTATAGTTTCTATTTCAAATAAGTTGCAAAAATATAAAAGAGGACACTCATTCATTTGGGTATCCTTTTCCAAAATTGTTTTATGTTTTCAAAATAGCAAAAAATGGAAATTACACACAAACTTATTTGATAAACTATTTTCGGCAAAATTTTAAAAATAACTTATCATTTTTTAAATAAACACTTATAAAAATTGTTTTTCACAAAATGATAAGGATTGTGATTTCAAACTTTCTGTTATGTTTATTCAAACAAAAAAATTGAAAACATAAAGCAAAAAATATCAAAGATAAAAACGAAAATGCCAAATAGAAGTGTACCAAAAGGAAAGTATAATTTATCTTAAAGTAATGGATTTATTTTTGAAAACCAAAAATATTGGATTTTAAATTGAAGAAAAAGGTACACATTTAAAGGGTGCTTTGAAAAGATGATCAAAAGTTAGTTTTTTTAATTTTTTTACTTTTTTAGTTAGGAAGTGGCTTTCAACCCACTTCTCAAAAGAGGCTAAACCAAGGATTATTTACAATTTTCAAGTTACAATGATTGTTTTTGTGCACATTGTGAGATATGATTATTTAGAACGTTTGAGTCATGGTTCATTTGAAAACGTTTGTCAACTAGTTATTCGTGTTAGTTGAAAACGATTCATCCTAAATTTTTTGTCAACTAGTCTGCGAACACTCATCAATTAGTTATGTTAGTTGGGTATGATTCATTTGAAAACTTGTCAACTGATTATCCGTACCAATTAATTACAATTCATCTAAAAACTCTTGTCAACTAATTATTCGTGTCAATTGGATAATCATTCAAAAACATATTCAATAGCTTTGATTTATAAGGTAAATTATACTTACACCTCCTGAGATTTGGATTTAATACATATCACTCTTAACATTTGAGAAATTACACTAATCCCTCTGTCATTTAGACGGAGTGAAAATATTAAACTTATGCACTCTTTTTTTTTTTTTTCCATTCCTTTGCTTTATTTTTATTTTTTTTCAATGTAGTTTTCTCTGTTTTTCTAGTAAGAGTTGTTGCCTTTTATATAAGTAAAGAGAATTTGTAAAATGAGACTATTAACTATATGGTGGGAATGTAATTTTGAAAACGTTAAAAAATAAGAAATAATTAGATCAAATCTCAAGAGTATCTAGTTTGTAATAGTGAAACCGAGCAAGGATCCTCTAGAGTGATTTTTCCCTAAAGTTTCCTAAAGTGCTACAGTGTATGGTTGAGATTTACTGGCAAGTCACATTAATTTTTCTGATGTGACTTGCCAGTAAATCTCAACCACACAATATAGTAACTTTAGGAAAATTAGGGAAAAATCACTCTAGAGGATCCTTGCTCACCTCAAAGTCATTCCTCATCAGGGCTTGCATTAGCTCTAGGCATAGGTGGAAAAGTTCATGGGGACCCTTCTTATATAGAAAAATGCTTGGGAGCACTAATTAGTGCTCCCACTAATTAGGTGGCAGTGGGTCCCGTCATTAATGATGTGATGTTTTGGTCTTTGAGTTGTTTTTTTTTTTTTTTTTTTTACTTTTTTAATGCATTAGTGCTATTAGTGGTATTACGGTGCTAAACCCATAGGGCCGGGTTTGGGTCGTGACAGTTAGTTACTAATCAATTATGATTACAAACAAATGTGAACCCTCATAATATGTTTAATTATGGTTAAAGAAATTTGTGTATGTATATATCATCCTATTTCCAAAAAATTATTGGTAGTTAAAAAAAAAATCAAAATCCAACTTCAAAATTTTTAGTTTATTTTCAATTTTTTTACTTCAAAAAAATGAAGCTAAAAATTACGTAAGTGTTATCAAATGACATTTTTTTTTTCAAAGTAGAACACTTCAAAACTTAATCTAAAAAATATCCAACATACTTACCAAATGGAGCCGTTATTAACATTTTTTCAGAATTACTATATATATATATATTGCATATTACTTTAAGAGTAATTTACGCCAGAAGTCCATAAAGTTTGCAATTTTATCGATTAAGTCCTTATACTAGTTTTTCATTTAAAAGCCCTCCAACTTTCAAATCGATTTAATTTAACCATTCTGTTACTTTCTATATCACTTATGACTATCCTACCTAAAAGAAAAAATTGATAAAAATAACCGTAAAATTCTTGCTTCTAGTATTAAAAAAATACATTAACCAACTTAAAAACATGTGCTGGTGAAGGAAATGGTGCTGATTTTGTAATATTTTTTTTGATATTTGGAAAATAAATTTATAATTAATTATACTAATTTATCCTTTAGTTAGGCCCACATAATGCATTTAACAACTAAAAGTTGGACAAAATGAAACAAAAGTGCTATATTAAATCAATTTGAGAAGTTAAAGAGCTTAATTGAACAAAAAATTATTTTAGAGACTTAATAAATAAAAGATAAAAAAAAGTTAAGGATTTTTGGCTTAATAATTGGAGTTAGTTTTTATTTTTCTTTTTTTTGTGACTTTTTTGTTGATTTATTTTCGTCTTTAGTAAATTTTATTTTTTATCTTTTTTAAAAAAATCAGGCTTCTTTAAAAAAAAATTAAAAAAAAGTTCATAGAAGACAAAAACAAGTAAAAAGATAGTAGGTTTTTTAGCTTATTTTGGTTTTTTTTTTTAATTTTTCAAAAAAAAAAATACTTTTTAGATTCGTCTACATAAAACCAAAAAATTGTTAAATTTGACATATTTTTTTTTAAAAAAGGCTACTTATGACAACAAAATTCGAAAAAGAGGTGATATTTTCCATTGTTTCCAAGCAACCACAATTCTTAATTCTTAATATTTGATAGTTAGAAATTATTGTAAAACATAGTATCAACTAATAAATCTTTTTTTTTTTAATTATTAATTTTAAAATTTTTTATTGCATCACACATCAAAATTCTTATAAAAATTATTTTTCTATATAGTATTTTTCTAATGTAAATTTGTATTTTATTATGTAATTGAAAACTTAAAAAAATGAGATATAATTTTTAAAATTATTAAAGATAATTTATATTTTAAATAAATTTCAGATAGTGTTTTTGTAATTTCACTTTTAATCTATAGAAGGTTGATACACATTATAATAAAATTTCTGTGTCCTTGTTAAGTAGTATAATAACATAATAAGATTATGGAAACTAATAGAATAATGCTATATGCACCAATTAGTGTACTAACTAGTGTACTAATTGATGATGTGACATAATTTAAGAGGTTTTTGATATTTGTAATTTATATAATGAGTGCAGTCAATAATAATGTTATAACTAGTGTTAGTTCACTAGTTACCGAAACTAATAAAATCATTTGTGTAATTATTAAAAGAGAAATGCTAGAGATTCACATTTTTAAACTTATAAATTCACCCACAACAATGTGATAAGGAAGTTGACCCTACATAATTGAATGTGTAATAAATTAAAAATTGACACATATGATATTGCATCATCATTGTGGGAATTGTTAGAATTTTTTTGTGAAATATTTTTTTCATTAAAAAAATTGAAAGAAACAGACAGACAAACAAACATATCATAGTTTCTTTTTTTTTTTTTGGAACGCCAAACATACATAGTTGGAAGCAATAAATCATTCACAATAAAACAGTTCAATCCTCAGTGTGTAAGAAAAATGAGTTTTTTCAGTAGCATGAATTAGGAGAGAGTTGCAGAGAAAGCGAAAAGATTTCTACAAACACTCAGAAGATGCAAAAAAACTTCATATAGAAAAAAAATGGAATTGGAAATAGTTTTTGGTGGACATGTGTGCAGGAATCCAGGCATGAAAAAGATCAATTTGCATTTACTTCTCATTTAATGCCTTCACCTACACTCGGAAACTGCTGTTTCATTGCATTCAATGCTCTTTGTCTCTCTCCCTCATGCCCTTCACCATCACCATTTCATTCTTGCCTCCTCTTTCAACCAACCTTCAATAATCCATGAATCCATCTTTAGCATAAGCATTTCTCACTCCCACAACCACTACTACTCTCCAAATCAAGATATATATCCAGCAAAGAATGAGTTAGCCTTTTTCCATTGAACTCTGTGTGGTGTAAAAGTAAATGGAAACCAATTTAAATTTATGTCCCCAAAATGTAATCTTGAGTGTGTTCTTCGATTGTAAAATCCAATTTTCTCACGTGGGTTTTGGGAAAACAGCAGCACTGAGGAGATGGATTTGCGGTTTAGATTCTGTTTTACCGGTTTGAGATAGCAGAAATTCATGTCTTTGTAGTTGGAACTTGATGATCTCGGGTGGTCTTGGTAAGTTTGCCTAATTTGTTTAGTAGTTTCAGACGTGTGTTCTTGATTATTTCTTCTGCATTCAGATACATCTATGTAAAAACTGGTTTTCTAATTTGTTAATTCAACCATGGAAGAATAGAGGAACCCAAAAGGAGTACTAGCTTGTTGAAGAGTTCATAGATATCACTTTTTCTCATCTGGGGTTTTTTGAAATATTTCAATACATATCAGAGGCAGAGATTGTTGTTCTTGAGTAGTCTATTATATATAATGGAGATAAGGAGGGGTTTAGTGACAGATTCTATCATCTGGGTCTTGAAAATCACCACAATGAGAGCTAGATTTCTTGCATTTTTTGTGTTGATTTCAGATTTAGGGAGGTTGGTTTTAGGCCTAGGCTCAATGTCCTCCATTGCCATTTCTTATGGTGAGAATGGCCCTGTTTTCTGTGGTCTTAAACCAGATGGAACTCATCTTGTGGACTGCTATGGATCAAATTCAGCTATAATCTTTGCAACCCCATCTCATTTCCCGTTCGCCGGTCTAACCGCAGGCGATGGCTTTGTCTGTGGGCTTCTAATGGGTTCAAACCAACCTTATTGTTGGGGAAGCAGTGCCTTTATTCAAATGGGGGTTCCTCAACCTATGGTTAATGGGTCTGAGTACTCTGAAATCAGCGCTGGAGACCACCATTTGTGTGGTTTGAGAAAACCCTTTATGGGAAAGCTAAGAAATACAATCACAAACACTAGTACTACTTCCATTGTTGATTGTTGGGGCTATAACATGACTGCAAACCATGTGTTTGATGATGGACCTGTGAAGTCTATCTCAGCTGGTTCAGAGTTCAATTGTGGATTGTTTTCTCAAAACAATAGTGTTTTCTGTTGGGGTGATGAGACCAGTAGCAGAGTCATTAGCTTGATTCCTAAACAAATGAGGTTTCAGGAGATTTCAGCTGGTGGGTATCATGTTTGTGGGATTTTGGAAGGGGATAAACTGAATTCTAGGGTTTTTTGTTGGGGAAGAAGCTTGGACCTTGAAGAACAAATATCTAATAGAGTGGTTAATTCAGGGCAAATCATGATCAATGTGGACTTGGCTCCAAATGATCCGATGATTTCGGTTGTTGGAGGGAGGTTTCACGCTTGCGGAATCAAGAGCTACGATCACGGTGTGGTTTGTTGGGGCTATAGTGTCAAATCAAGTACTCCACCTCCTAGTGGAATTAGGGTTTTTCAGATTGCTGCTGGGGATTACTTCACTTGTGGTGTTCTTGCTGAGAAATCTCTGCTTCCCATTTGTTGGGGTGCCGGTTTTCCCAGCTCTCTCCCAGTGGCGATCTCTCCGGGACACTGCAAGCACGATCCTTGTGAACCCGGTTTCTACGCTTCCGACAATGGAACTTTAGCCTGCAAGTCCCCTCCGGACTCCCGCATTTGCTTGCCTTGCAGCAATGGTTGCCCTGCTGAAATGTACCAAAAAGTTGGTTGCACATCGACATCTGATCAACAATGCGAATTTAACTGTTCGAGTTGTGCATCGATTGAATGTTACTCAAATTGTTCATTTTCGAATTCTATTCCTGGAAAAAGCAATGGAAAATTTTGGTCACTCCAATTGCCGGTCATTGTTGCTGAGATTGCCTTTGCCGTGTTCTTGGTCAGTGCATTTACTTCTTTGACTTCAATCTTCTACGTTCGCTACAAGTTAAGAAACTGTAGGTGCCCGGCTAGAAGTGACTTGAAATCGAAGAGAAATAGCATTGGGAATAATAGTGGTTCTTCATTTCAGAAAGATAGTGGTAAAATCCGACCTGATTTGGATGATCTCAAGATCAGAAGAGCTCGGACATTTACTTACGGGGAGCTTGAGAGAGCCACTGGTGGCTTTAAAGAAGAATCCCAAGTGGGAAAGGGAAGTTTTTCGTGCGTGTTCAAAGGGGTATTGAAGGATGGAACGGTTGTAGCGGTGAAAAGGGATATAATGTCATCTCCTAACAATGACACAAAGAAGAATTCGAAGGAGTTCCATACTGAACTAGACCTACTCTCGAGGCTAAACCATGCCCATTTGCTCAATTTGCTCGGTTATTGTGAAGAAGGGGGAGAGAGGCTTCTAGTTTATGAGTTCATGGCTAACGGGTCATTGCATCAACACCTCCATGGAAAAAACAAGGCCTTAAAGGAGCAACTAGATTGGGTTAGAAGGGTTACTATCGCGGTCCAAGCAGCTCGTGGGATTGAATACTTGCACGGCTATGCTTGCCCACCTGTGATTCACCGCGACATCAAGTCTTCAAACATTCTAATTGATGAAGAACACAATGCCCGGGTAGCTGACTTTGGGCTTTCCTTGTTGGGGCCTGCCAATAGTAGCTCACCGTTGGCTGAGCTACCAGCGGGGACTCTAGGCTATCTTGACCCTGAGTACTATAGGCTGCACTACCTCACAACCAAATCCGATGTCTATAGCTTTGGTGTTCTGCTTTTGGAGATCTTGAGTGGTCGGAAAGCAATTGATATGCAATTCGAAGAAGGAAACATTGTCGAATGGGGGGTTCCTTTGATCAAAGCTGGAGACATACAAGCGATTTTGGACCCGGTTTTGAAGCCCCCATTGGACCTAGAAGCCTTGAAAAGGATTGCGAATATGGCTTGTAAGTGTGTGAGGATGAGAGGCAAAGAGAGGCCGTCGATGGACAAAGTGACTACAGCATTGGAGCGAGCTTTGGCAATGTTAATGGGCAGCCCGAGCAATGATCAGCCCATTCTGCCAACTGAGGTAGTCTTGGGAAGTAGCAGATTGCACAAGAAGTCCTCTCAAAGATCATCAAACCGGTCAGTCTCAGAAACAGACGTGGCAGAGAGTACCGATCATGATCAGAGATTTGAGTTCAGAGCTCCATCGTGGATTACTTTCCCGAGCGTGACTTCTTCACAGAGAAGGAAGTCATCGGAGGATTCAGATGCGGATGCTATTGATGCGAAGACCACAGAAATCAGAAATTTTGGGAATGGTGGAAGTATCATCGGTGACGGTTTGAGGAGTTTGGAAGAAGAGATTGGGCCTGCTTCTCCTCAAGAAAACTTGTTCTTGCAGCACAATTTCTAGTTTCTAGGTGGCTTTTAAAAAACAAGACAATAAATATTTGAGGTAAATCTGGCTTATTCATGTTCAAAATACTTTTGATTTGCCTTGGTTGAATGTTTATTTTCTTGCGGAGGAAAAAATTATTGTAAACAAAATGAGGCAAGGGATGTAACTTTCTGTTGGTTACAATGTATTGACTTTGAGTCTGCTTCTTTGTGCATTCCATTTGATAATGTGTTTGTTTTCCATTCTCTGCATAGTAATTGATTTATTCATATTAGTAGATTTTTGTACCTACTTAACTGTATTCTTTTGTATGTTTACATTGGCTTTATTTTCTATTTCTGTTCTAATTCCGACAAAATTGCATATTTTTATCCTCAAAGTGGCAAGTTTGTTTATTTTTTTTATCAGCAAAAATAATAATGAAAATTGTTGATGAAAGAAAAGTTTGATACAATACAAGGGAAGGCATCATTGCTTAGCTTGATGTGGTAATATTTTGCAATATTGTGAAATATACTAATTGAAACTTCATAGCGAACAATATTGTGAAATATTTTGCCACTCTCTCTAGATGATTTCCAGGAATGCTCTGGCGTTGCTTTGGCGGCATTTCGGTGATTCATTTTACACTTTTCAAATGTAGATCTACACTCCAAAAGTATAGATCTACAGTTTTCGAGTGTAGATCTTAACTTTTTATATTCGAAATAGGGGTTTTGAGAGTTTTCTCCTCCGATTTCGACATAAATTTTTGGATTTTCGACACCCACAATAGTTCTCTCCTCTCTTAAGCCTTCTCTCATACCATTGTGGGTGTACTTCCTTATCAACTCTAGCTTATGGTAGTGTTCTATTCAATGTCCGGCAGCGAATGCGGTAGCGGAGTTGGGCAGCAGCGAGGGGAACGATGTCGACAAGGACGTTGGGTTTTCAAGCAAATCTTACTTTCCAGATTACATCTTTGAGAAGATCAGTAATTTTCGTAACTCGTAACTGTTTTTTTTTTTTTTTTGCAAAATTGTTTTTTTGTTGTTTGTTTTTAGTTTTGTTGTTTAGTTGGGATGGCTTTTTGTGATCTTACTTATGTAATGTTCTTTACTAATATAATGTTTCCATGTTCTCAAAAAAAAAATAAAAATGTAAGAAGTACCAATATGGACACGTCATAGGGTGATTTTAGAAAAATGAGGACTCTAACACAGCGGGACATGGAAATAAAATAAAAAAAATTAATAGATTTTTATTTATTATGTAGATTAATATTGCATTTATCAAATAATCAAATATAACTAGATTTAAATAATTAATAGATTATCTATAAAAAAGAGAAAAACAGTAGTAAAAGTTAACTTAAAATAAAGAAGTTATCATCCAATACCTCTTTTTGTTCATTACAATCTAAATAAAAAAGTAACAAAAAATCAACATCCAACATATGTTAAAAACACTATATAAAATAAACAAAAAAACAAAAACAAATTAGTAGTTACCGATATTTGCTTAAAAAATAAATAAATTAAATAAAATAACAAGTCAGTGTTCCCAGCATGTCCCCTGTTCCTGTTTTGAATTGTCTATACTTGATAGGGAAACAATTGAATGGAGAAAGAAAGTAACTATGAAGTCATTCATTCTGGCCTACCAAATACTTGTGTCATGTCATGCAGTCTGAAGAAAACCAATCATCACAACACAAGCATAGTTAAGGGACTTTTCCCAAAATAAGTTTTTTTTGCATTTTATTTTCTAAAATAGGCCAACTTCTGACGAAATTTCCAAACTAAGCTGAAGCGCCATTCCGATTCGCGCTTTTACTGTGAGGAGGTCAAAATTTGATGAACAGTGTAATCGCTATTCCAATTCGCGAGTTTGATTAAGAAAACGCTGTTGCAAATAGCGCTTTATTTGGGAAGGGAGGTTTGTAAAGAAAACGCTATTCCTAATAGCGCATTCACTGTGCACTTACAAACTCGTCATTTCTAATAACGCTTTCAGACAGCATAAAACACACCCAAGCCACGTTTTTTACACTTGGTATTCTGCTCTCACACTCAGCTCTCGATCTCCCTCTGCTCTCTCACCCTCAGCTCTCGATCTCCCTCTGCTCTCGATCTCCCTCTGCTCTTGATCTCTCTCACTCTCTCTCTCTCTCTCGATCTCCCTCTGCTCAACTCTCACTATCGCTCTCGCTCTCCCGCTGCTCTCACTCTCTGTCTCTGTCTCCGTAGTATGGCTCTGTTTTTTTTCTGAATTTTATGTATTTATTTATTGTGTTTGTGAATGTGTGTTTGTGAAAATGTGAATGTTAGGATTTTAAATGTCAATTATTAAATGTGTTGGTTGTAATGTGTTAGGGTTTTTTATCAGTGTTGTGAAAATGTTAGGGTTTGAAATTTTGCTTCTGAATCAGAAATCAGAAATTATGTTTGTGAATAATTTGAAATGTCTATATTTCGAAATCATCTTCTGAAGAAAATATAGACATCTTCTTCACCAATATTTGTTCACCTATATTTGAGCTAGATGCCATACTTGTTGAATTGGAATATAGACATTTTGAGCTAAATGTCTATATTTGATCTATACACAAAATCATCTTCTTCACCTATATTTGTTGAATTGGAATTATGAAATGTCTATATTTTGATATTTGAAAGCAGAAATTGGAATTTTGAAATTATGCTTGTGAATCAAAATGTCTATATTTTTTTTGGAATTTTGAATTGTGTATAAATCAACCTATATTTGTTGAATTGGAAATTTTATTTGTTGCTTGTTAAGAGGAATTAAAAGGAAATTAGGTTTTGAAATTAGGGTTTTAAAAGTAATTTTTTTTAACTAAGAATAAAATTAAAAAAATTGAAATTCATATAATTGATAATTGTTAATGTCATATTATGAAATTCATATAATTGAGAATTGAAAATTGAAAATCATTTTATGAAATTCATGAATTCAGATATTTATGAGTAACATAACTAAGAGTTTGTTTGAATTGGAATTTGGAATTTTTCATGAACCAAATAACATATAGCCCCATGAGTGTGGACCGTTCACCAATTATCCATATTTTAAATTGATAATGTTATATATATTAACAAATTTGTATTATAAAAAAAAATTAACTACTAGTATAACACCTATTACATCATTGACATAATTCATGCTTTAATTTTAAAAATTTTATTAGTACATGATATATCAATTATTAAGAATAATTTATAAAATTTATGAATTTGTATAATGTTTTTCATTTTGTATATGTTATATATGAAGTTGATGTGTTAAAGTCAATTTGCTTTAATCATATATACAGTTAGAGTATTATTTATTTGTTACACATAATTACTAATATACATAGCATGAATTGTTCACTTTATGGTTGTATATTGAATTTTTTATTCAGTTTGTACATCAATTGGTTGGCATAATGTAGAACTAAGTAGGTAAATTTCATTTTCGATTTGCCACTCACCCAAATAATACTGACTTACGAAAATCTATAAGTCCAATCACTTGTATAGATATTATGGTACACTGTAAGGAATATTACCTTATTTTGTATTCACCCAAAAAACATTATTTTGTGAAAATAGATTTTTAAAAAATTAAAATTGATAAAAAAAATTATGTTTATCACCTGTTAAAAATAAAAAATAAAAAGCAACCCAATTTCATATTAATTTTTTTAACTTATAAAAAAGTCAAAGAAATCATTAAAAAAATAATATCGAACAAGTTTTTAGTCATATTATTTATAAATTAAGAGGTCAATAAATCAATTTTTACTTAAAGGCAATGGATGATTACTGAAAAACATAAACACGTGACTTTCCAAGAGTAGCTAATAATTTTTCCTCATTAAAAAAATATCAAACAAACTATTAGTTATGTTACTCATAAACCGATAATTCATATTATGTTACTCATGAATTGGAATTTTTCCTCATTCAAATTCATATTATGTTCTCTCAAATATTTAATTTTGACTCTATTTTATTCAAATAATAATATTTTGGTATAGTTTCGTTTGGTTTATTTCACTATATTTGGGGTCAGACACCCAGAATATGATTACAAATTCTTAGAATTTATTTTCATTTGGGTTTAGCTAAAGGTTTCCACTTAGTTGTTAACTATCGAAATCCATACTTTAGGACATAGCTTATTGCAGGTGTCTGCATATAAGCACATACTCACTTGTAAATTGTATGTAAGATCATTTTGCACTCTGCCCCTCCAAGCTAACCAACCAAAAAAGTGTAATTTTGGGAGGTGCCACATTCTTTCACAACCATTTGCAAATCAAACCAAACAATTTATTTTTGTCAAATTTATTTATATTTTTTCAAAAAAATCAAAAAATAATTAAAAAAATAAAACCAAACCGCTATGTCATGTATTATCTTTAATATACATTCAATAAAATTAGTAATTTTTATAAAAAATATTAACTTTGATATTAGAATAATTTGAAGAAATTTCATTATAAAATACTAACATTTAATTTTATAATCTTGTCATAGAAATTTTAAAAAATTTAATGAGCTGAATTTGTAATACATATAATAGCATTATAGTAGAAATTAAAATTTCCTCACAAAACTTAAGAAAATTAGAAAAAGTTTTTGAAATGGGTATTAAACGAAGTGGTTTATCGCCACTTCTGCTTTGTGACTGTCCGCCACCATTGAAAAGGAAAATCTGAACATTATGTTTTTATAATTTTTATTTTGATTTATATAATTATAAGTCATTATTACATTTTTGTTGATTCCTTCCTTAGTTTCATTAACTACAACAATATCATCAATGAATAACCCACACCATGAGATATTAAGTATGAACTCATCCATGACGAAGGCAAATAAGGGTATGAACTCAACTCTCCATTATTTTTATAAATAAAGTACTAAAATACTTTTTCTCCACTCATCAAACATTTTTGTACTCATTAGAATCTTATTAAAGAATTTTTTCAATCAAGACAAACTCCTCCTTATCTAAACATTTCCAAACCCTCAATAGGGAAACAATCTTATCCTAATAAATTACCTGATTTCATCTTCTTCAGTGCAAATTCCACCTCAAACTCCCTTAGTCAACGATAAACCTATATTCTCTAGTTTTATCTACACTATCATATTCATCTCTTAAGTTTTTAAATGTTTTTCATTTACCATTAAAGAAACATGAACCTTTTTTAAGGTAAACATTTTACAAGCCCTATACCTAGACTCACATCTTTTATGAATACAAAGCACTAATTCGGGATCC